TGATGCCTTGCTTACCTCATCTCCATATGTCTGAAGTGCATTCTTTTCTTTCTAAACCAGACCATGAATATGACAACTTTGATCAGCTCTTTCCACCTACTGGGTTTGTACTAGGTTCTTTTTTACTTGTTTAGGACAATTTTGTTTTTTCAAATCTCTTTGTAGATTTGATTTCTTAGATTTGTTCTTTACTTTCCCTTTATCATGTTCTTCAATTTTTCTTGTTCTTTACAACATAACTCTCATGCTGAGGATTGTTTTGTTTGCCTCCTGCTCCAAACATATGTGTCCATAGACATGTTCCTGGATCAGCTTTGGTCCCACTCTCAAATTCTTCATCATCCTCGACTTCAGGATTCCTTTGCCATGGCTTATGTTTATTCCCCTTTTCTGTTCTTGGATTCCCAATTCCTGGAGTCCCATCCACCAGCTTGAGAGCCTGACTCCCTAACTCCAATAATACTCTCTAGTGCTCAATCTTCCCATCTTTGCCCTTTTCTTACCTGTCTCCTTCATTACTTGTCTTCTCTTCATCTCCTATCTGAAACCCTACACTGTGATCCTCATCGTTTTTCAAGTAATGTATGATCGCTCCTTTTTGATAACTTGGCCTGGTTTTTGTCTTCAGCTTTGTCCCAGCTTGCTTGATTCCTCTTCTCTCTCTACTATTTGTCTTTCCCATTTTTACCTCTGTCTGGCTTCTTTTCTTCACCCTGAATTATTTGAGAATGTTCCTAATGCCTTGAAGCTGCCTGATATTAGTCCTCTCTTTCCTTCTTGGTTTTTCGTTTCTTACATACTTGTGAGTCCACTCCTGTTCCTTGATCCTGTAAACTCTCCACCTCTTTTTCTTTCCCAGTTTCTCATTCCTCTACCACTTCTCACCATCCTCCCTCCCATTAGGCTGAACTTTGTACTTCCCATCACTGATTCCCTTCTTTTATATGCAATAGGTTCAAACCCCATAGGGGCACATCTGTTTCTGTCTATAGACGTTTGGACCCCCCTTTTGAAGTGAACTATTGGGTCCTTCAGGTTCTTACAAATGACTTTTCACTTCCTTATTTATCCTCTTTTTTCCATTTCTTTTCCTCCTACTTCCAATCCTCTGCATTTTGAGACCACTGTATCATATCTTTTGGACCTGAAAGCCATCATAAGGGTCCTTTGCCCCTATCCAGTGTTTTGTTCTCATTTTTTGTGGTTCCCCAAAACAACAAGGATTGTCATCCTGTCATTGACTTTTCTTTTCCATTGATTCTTTTTCCATGGACTGTGGATGACCAAGGTTGATGTCTCAGATGTCTTTTCACATATTCTGATTGCCCCATTTTCCCATTGTTTCATTTATTCTTCTTACCAAATAAGGTGTACCAGTGTCGAGCTTTGTATTGCTTTGGCTCCTTATGTCTTCTATCGAGTCATGGGAGTGTTTGCTCACATCCACAGTCACGAACTTCATTTCTGTTATTACATGGACAACTGGCTCCTCCTTGGCTCTTCTCATAAGGCTTTCTTCTCAGCCATGTCACTTCTCCTCCAAGTGGCAACGTTTCTGGGTTGGTTGGTCAAGTTTTCCAAGTCGTTCCAAGTTCACCATAAAGTCTTTTTCAATTCTCGACTAGGTCAAGCTCAGCCTTCTCACATACAACTGCAGGACATGGAGTGTCTGGTCCCATGAACTCTTGCCTCTCCTATACTTCCTTTACAAGAGGTTCATATATCTTTTTTTGGGAACTCTTGCATCTCTGGAGCATCTTGTCCCTCTAGGCCTGGCTCACATATGGCAACCAATGGAAAATCTCTCACAGTTCTTTGTCCTTGTTTGTGACACTGCTGCCTTATCTTCTGGAGAACGTGTTTTGGTTGCTGGATCATGCAAATACTACAGTCAGCGTCCAATTGCCACTGCCACATGCATTCCCATCTCTTCATTAATGCAGTTCTTATGGGTTGGAGTACGTCTCTAGATGATTTCAATGCCTTGGATGTTTGTACCTTCCACATCAATTTTCTGAAACTCTTGACCATCTGTTAGGCACGTTACTATTTTCTACTTCATCTTATTTATCACTCGGTTATGACAATTGTACAGTCATTTTCCATATCAGTCATCAAGGTGAGACTCATTCTAGGTGCCTTTGCTTCTGCACATGTCTTGGCAATAATTTGCAACACTCCTTATTGGGTACTTTTGTTAGCATTATTTTGGTTGGCTCAGTCTTAGTTTCTTCATTGTCACTGACTGGCATTCAGGGCACCTCTTCCTCTACGTTCATCTCAGACATTCTTTTTCCAACCTCATATATCTCTCTCTTGTACCCAGGATTCTCGTCCTTTCATCTTTAAGCATGGAATTTGTCTGGTCCTTTGCTTGCCTGTCAGGTTTCTTTAACCATGTAGCTTTTCTATTATCTTGTTGGTGTTGCCCCTCTGCTCTTTCTGTCTATCAATGAAAGTGACCTATGTTTCACCACTGGTCCATCTGCCACTCTCTAACACCAGAGTGTCCTAATGTTGTCCACCTTTTGGCCTTCATTACCTGGTTATTCTATCAAGGATTGTTGGTTTCTACCATCACACAATATTGAGCAGCCTTTTTTGACTACCTTTTGCATTTTTCATAATGGTTCTGTTTTTCTCCCATTCTTTCTTTTTCTGGTCTCTTCTATTTCATCCTCCTCATCCAGTTCCTTTGCCCAAATGGAACCTACACATTCTCACCTGGGCCCTGTTGAAACCCTTGACCACTTGCTCCTTATACCATCTCTCTCTCTCTCTTAAAACCTATATGACTTTGGAGATCCTTCAGGCTGGAATGTGGTCTACACCTAACACTTTCATCTCCCATTATCTCCACCATCTGGCAGTTTTATCTCCCTCAGGATATTTTCTCCTTCCATATGCCATTCTCCAGTATAACTGTCTTTAATAGATGTCTCTCTTATATCAATACTTGCTTATAACGGCTCCCATTCACTTCTTGGAACTCACCTGGTTGCTAGTGTTGCCTCACAGGGTGTACTTCCTTCCCTAGATCTACATCAAGTCAAGGGTTACAGAAAACATTAAACTCATCTGCCCTGCTTCCTAAAGTTCCCACTGTTGAAATGGGGTTTACTGCAAGACCACTACTGACAGTACCTTCCATGGACAATCATGGAAAAAGCCAGGACCAGGGGAATGCTTACACACTTATCTAGATCACACTTGCCAGCTTTTTAAATTACATTTTACAGTAACCTACTACACTTTCTCCAGTAAAAGAAGTTTTCAGTAGTTAGGTCCAATTCGGTCCGGACACCTCTCCAATATCTTCCCAACACAAATTCCTTCCTCTTTGGTTGTTGAGTAGAGTATGTGAGACCCTTGTCACTACCAGTTCCTAACCCCTGTAGTGGTTAACCAGTAGAGTTCCTCATCAGTTGTGCAATCCCTTGGGAGAGAGTCTGAGTGAGCTGTACAATGTGGTGGGAAGTAGGGCAGGGGTGTACATATTAGTGTACTGCAGGTCATTCCCTAATATGTAAAATGCCAGTTTCCTGGTGGTTTGCCAGCAAAATTAGGCAAAGTGTTTTCCTCATGTGGCTACAAGGGATTTATTTCCCCTTGCTTTATGGAAGGTAAATTGTACAAGAGAACACACACCAAACCTTATAGTTTGATCATTGCCCTTGTCATGTGTTTTTCCACCCATCCCTGCAACACGCGCACTTATTTCACCTTCCTCCTTACATACTCCATGCAGGTGGAGAGTACACTCTGCATCAGAAGGATGCAGTCTCTCACAAGTTTTACTCCTCTAATAAGCCCCCACTATAGAGTGTCACTCTATGGGCTTTCTCTTTCTGTTGCCTTTTCTGAAGGGAACTCATTTAGGTTTTCATACTTGCATCAGCCCTTCAACCACATCAATGTGGGGTTCTAGCTATTGCATTCAGAGGTAGAGCTATCATTTCAGAAGTTAACATTTTCTTTACCTAAAAATGTATTTCTGATAGATACTTACCTCTCTTCATACCTTTCCACCCTTCCTCCCCATTTCTGGTGCACATTATTCTTGCCTCATGTAAGAATGAAGTTAGTTACAAGTTATGGTGATCTATTGCACATAGAGGATGTGTTGCCCTCCTATTAGTGGAGGGCCACTGTCACATAATTTCCTCATGCATTAGCACAATTCAAGTTATAACGTGTCTTAGGTGGGAGATAGCCCAAGGCTAGTGGCATATGCAAAATCTGGAAGGCAGACAAGATAAGTACAGCTATTGTGTGAAGAGAGTAATCTATCAGAAAAATATTTTCATGTAAGAAAAATGTTCTCTTTAGGTGATCCTAACTATAACACAGGCCACATCATTCTTAGCATTGAAAAAATTTGGAAAATAAGAAAGAAAAGAAATATTTTTCATTATAATACACCAATCCATCCTCAACTGCAACTAAGGCTTTGACTTAATGAAGTTTTTACAGTTATGCCTTATAATTACACTGACCTGCATCTCCTGAATCTCAATAAATAACTGATGACATCACACACCAAACAAACCTTTCCTAAAGAACCACATTATACACCTCACGCCAACCATCTATAAACCAAATACACAGTTTCATCAGCAACCTGATGAATGCTTCAGCATAGAGACCCAAATGCCATTCATACCTATCCCTGCAGATGCACTCAGTCCAAAAAAAATTAAAATCCAGAACTTCTATTAATGTATAAGGAGATTAAAAGGTACACTTTAAAATTATTAATTATGTGGATATAGTTATCACGTTAAGTAATAAGTATATGTTTTACACAAATTATGTGGATTTAGTATAATGTTAAGTAATAATTATTCATTATACATAAGTATTTTTTATTGATGTCTTGAACAAATTTTGTTGAAAATGTTTCTATCAAAGAAATTGAATAAACACTTTAAATCCGTAGTGATTTATCTTTCTGAACATAATTAGAAAGCACTTCTAAATTTCATGATGCTTGTTTGCAGTCTCAAGCTGAGAAGCGTAGAAAGTCTCATAGTGCCAGTCATGATGTGGCAGCATTTCTCTCAGTTTCTTCTCATCCTGGTCATGAAGAGGAGCGACGAGCTAGTTTTGATATTGCCTGTAGTCAGATAAGCAGAACCACATTGGAATCCAAAGATTTGAGTGTAAACAATGTGAGTGCAAAACCTTTGTCTTACTTTTTTTTTTAAGGGTAAGGTGTAGAAGTTTTATAGGCACACTTATCTTTGAGTTCCATTTTTAGTTAAATTAGATGAGGATTTAACCTTTATTTTTTCAAACTTTTATAACACTGAGCAACTAATTTTTACCATCACTGTGATTGATTAGTTGTATTCTTAATATTTTGTAAAATTCAAATTTTCACAAAATTCTATGCCAAAGCCAAATTTTAAATATATAATCCAATGTTCAACTAAAACAACAGTTTTAATAGCTCTAAAGGTCAATTTTTATTTTAAAAAATGAAATTTTTAGATGTAGCTCATTAATCAATAAAATTTAACTTTAGCAGTTGTTCTGTTTTAACCAAATAACTTACATTTGGATCCATTGGTGTTTATATTGCATAATGATTCTAATGTTCTTTCATTGTAGTTTGTCTGTCAGTCAGATTAGTTATCCTTGTTTGATTTTATTTAACAAGATTAATACTTCTTGGTTTGATGTTTGAGAACTTTAATTTTATCTCTCAGATAACCACATCCATTAATGTAAAGCCTGGATGCCTTTCTACCAGCAAGGAGTCCCTGTCGCTGCTTCCAACAGCTTTGAACACACAGAATGGAAGTAATAATGGTAAAATGACTAATGATACTTTATCATCAAATGTTCCTAAAACACCAGATCAAAAAGCAAGAGAAAGGCCCAAATGGAAGGCATGGAACAGTCTACCAGGAGAGACAACAGACACAGAGGTGGAAGACAACTATGAAAGAATTGACATTAGTCGAATTCTTCAGCTTTGTCCCCCCCCAAGACCAGCCAGAACTGAAGAGGAAATTCTTGAAGACCTAGCTGGAGAATATGTTACTTTTGTCTTTGCTCACAGATATGCTTGCAGAGATCTAGCCAATAGAAATGAGGAATGGAGCATGGTACCAGAAACACTTGAGAATAGTGGAAACACATATGATGAGCTCAAAAATCAGTCTTCTGTGGAAACGATAAACTGTGGTAGCAGTGAATCTACACTACCAACTGATGTAGGCACTCTACAACAAGAGTCCTGTCATCAGAAAAACAAAAAAGTTGGAAATTATGATAATCTGTTTGACCTGTGGAATAAACTAGGGACTGTTCATATGAATATAGAAAACAGTGGAGAAACTAGTAGCTCCTCAAGTGAATCATCATTCAAACAGAGTGCATCAGTTCGGAGAGTTCATTCCTTCACTGGAATGGCCAAAACTAAAGATACACCTCTTCACAACTCTCTTTCATTTAAACAGCCATTTAAAGACCAGCTTGTTTTACCTCCAAAACCCACAGTAATACCACAACCTCAAACTTCTGAAGAGGTTGATTTGTTTTCTGTCCCTCCACCACCTGTATTAACTTCTAAAGACAGCTTTAGTCCAATTCCATCAACTGTGTGTTTGAAGAAACAGCAACATCACCAGGCAGAATTTTCAAGTACTTCATTGCCCCGAAGTTTCCAGCTTGTCCAGGATTACAATTCAGAGTGTTCAAGTGGTTACCAAAGTGACAAGAGAGATAAAATGAGTGTTGAATCAAATCAAAATGATTTCATTGATCAAAGACCATTTACTATTGCTTCAGAAAAACCATTAGAAGAAAACTTGATAGATGACTTGGAGCGTTATATAGCTTCTTCTTCCCAAACTAAACAGACTTTTAAGTTTCCAGTTAATTCTGAGGATAATCTGGTAACCTGTGCTACAACATGTGCATCTAGCATGGATAATATATCTATTCATCCTGAATACAAGGTTTACCGACAGCAAGGCTCTAGGTATGCCACTTTAAGAACTGTAATTTCCAATGTAAGTTCTAAGATTTCTGTTTTAAAGGCCACTTTTGGTTCTCCCATGATTGACCAAACAGATAATACATCTGTGATATTGGACAACAGTGCTTCTTTGGACAGATCAATGAACATGGAGGAGAATCCTGCAAATCAGTCATGCATTAGAACTGGCAAAGATTTCAACAATAAAGTTCCTAAAACCCGCTTTGTCAGTTCTCTTGCCAGAGCTTACTCTATAATGAGGAAACAGCGACTTCAGAAAGAAGGAGAGTCAACAGAAATTGCAACCATTTCAAACATTTCCACCACAAAGAAAGACTCCATCAATATCCATAAAACAGGAAGCTCCATCATTGGTGCTCGTATGGCCGGCCTACATGATTCAGAATACTGTGTACCAAGTTCTTTATTTCTGTGTCAGCAGCTGAGGTCAGACAAAGAGGAGGAGGTTTGCCCAGATAGTTTACTGTCTGATTCTTCAAACACCACATCATCAAGTGATGTGGACAAGACTTTTTTAAAAAATAACCTGCATGATACTTTTAAAGTTCTTGTTCCACAAAGAAGCAAGAGGGAGGAGAAAGTACTTGCACAAAATGGTGAATGCTCTGAAAACAACATTTATGAGAGATCTTTCGAGGCTATTGAAGGTACTGCCATGATGGAAGACTTCTTCAGAGATTCTGCAATTTATAGTGATCCAGAAAGTGAGGATTTCAGCACTGTTGAATCTTCACCAGGAAATTGTGAAATGTCAGAATGTCATAGAACTTTAAAACAGAAACAAAATCATGAAAGAGAGGATAATGAAGCAAACTCGTCTAGTCCAGAAATATATTTAACTAAAGATAATGCTAACAACAGTAAGGCAACTGAAAATAAAACAGACCTTTGCCATCCAAAATTATATACAACTCAGCATTTTATTGAAGACAATGAAGATAAAAACTTTGGTTATTCACCAAATAATTCAGAATATATTAAAATTTTTGAGCCTTACCCTGTTGAAGTCTTATCCACACGTCCTGTTAAAGGTTCAATTATTGAAAAGCTAAAGAATATTGGAGGTAAAGATCTAACACTACCAACAGTAAATGAATTAGAGATTATTCAGAAGAGACAAAAACAGAATGATAAAATGAAAGAAGATTTAACACTATTACCAAGTGATAGTTTGAGAATCACTAAGCAAAGACAGAAGGAGGATGTTGAGCTTCAGAAAGAGTTACCACCACCAGTAGATGTTTTGAAAGTTACTCAACAAAGACAGAAAGAGGGTGCTAAGTTTCAGAAAGAGTTAATACTACCACCAGTAGATGTTTTGAAAGTCACTCAGCAGAAACAGAAAGATGGAGCTAAACTTCAGAAAGAGTTAATGCCACCACCAGTAAATGTTTTGAAAATCACTCAGCAGAGACAGAAAGAGGGTGCTAAGCTCCAGAAAGAGGTAATACCACCACCACCACCACTAGATAGGTTAAAAACAATTAAGCAGAGACAACTGGAGTTGTTAAATTGGTGTACTCAAAAAGGTACTGAAGACTATAAAGACGACGAGATCGGCTCAGAATATTCAAACACACATTTTAACACAGTTACAGAAATAGAAGTTGATATGCCAGCCACTGCAAGCTCTTTAGAAACACCTGATTCTCCACCATTACCAGCAAAAGGCTGGGTTAAGCATATTGTCAACAAGTTTCAAAATGAAAATCAAACTTGATCTGTGTTTGTATTATATATAAGCTTTGTACAGAAGTGTTTGTCTTAAGATTATGATGTGTCCCAACATTGGAATTATGTAGAGTGCCAAACAACATGTAGAAACAACCCAAGTCTTTATAAAAATGTGATTTTATAAGAGCATTACTTTATATATTTTTACAGTGTGCACATAATGATGCTTCTAGGCATTCCTTTATTGCATTTGTAGATTGTAAAAGTGTGAATTGTGTATTAGAATATTCAGAAGAAATGATACATAGTTAGGAGGGCTTGGCTTGTTTCTGAGACTCCAAATGTAATTATATAAATGTTATTAAATGCAATAGAGACTAAACACATCAGGTGAAACTATAATTTGTGATGATTCAGAAATACCTTCTCATTTGGGAAGATAATGGGTATGGTTATAGGGAACTTGGAATGTAAAAGAAAAGGTTTAAAGCCAAAGAATTTCAGTTTGTATAGATATCTGTGGATAGATTCAGTATGTAACAAACTGTTTTATTGAGGTTTTATCAAGTAGCAGTGAGTTCATTGGTAACCTTTAGCCTTACAGAAATGGAAAACTTTCTAGTAAAGGTAATCATTAATGTAATAAGCATACTATCTTCTAGTCAAGGATTGAAGAGACTTAAATTTTTTGTCTTTCTAAATGTTTTTGATATTTGGATATAATTGTGTGTCTGTTTGAGAAAGCATTGGTATTATAAAATGATATTCAGTAAAATCAGTTACATGTAAATATTATTTTGAATTATGATTATACCTTCATAATATGATTCTGTAGTTGAGTTTCTTAATCCATAAAATTCCCTTTGAAAACACATCACAAAAGAAATTAGTAATTATTAGCTCAAGGCTAATATAATACTGTTCAATGTTGCACTGTAACATACTATAAATTGAACATCATTAAATATTGTGTTTAAAAAGGAAAGCAACTAATATGTTCACAGAAGTTTAAGTAACAAAAGTAGTTCTGAGGCTGCTATAGCCATTATTAACAAGGAAAGCAACCATTATTTTCTCAGAAATTTGTGAAGTGGAAATAGTTCTGCGGCTGCTATAGCTTTTATTAAACAGGAAAACAACTGCTGTTTTCTCAGAAATTTGTGAAGTGGAAATAGTTCTGAGGCTGCTATAGCCATTATTAAACAGGAAAACAACTGCTGTTTTCCCAGAATTTATGAAATTGGATTATTTCTGAACAATAGACAGGCTGTATAATGGTTTGTGTTTTGTAAGTAATTTATATAAAACAAATGGAACAAAGAGAAATATGAAAAATATATTTTTAAATTACTACTATGGATGTTAACTTTATAATTCCCAGCAGTATTAAGGGAGGAGTAATTTTGGTTTGATGCATTCACAATATTTTATGCTCCATATAGATTAAAATCTTTGTAAATGTGTGTCAAAATCTGAGAATTTTCTTATTTAAAGTATTACTGAAGCATCAGTACTTCTGGATTATACATCATTTTAAAATATTATGAAAGGAGTTGGTGTGAAACTTGTAAATAGCATGAAGTAATAAGGAAAATAAGCAATTCCTATATTATAATGAAGAGTCACTGTGTTAAATATGGAAAATATATTTTGTAGTAAAAAGTTTGCAATAAATAGTAGAATTTTCTAATAGCTGTTTTCAAAAGTCTACCTGTTGATATCCTAAAGAGGAACATTTTTTGCAAAGATGGCTATGTAGTGTCTGCAGCAAAAAGACCTTGTTTTAAACTTTATTTTACTCCTAAAATCTGTAATTGCTAATAATAACATATAAATAGGTATTTTATTTTGAAGAGGTACTCACATAATTATAGAACATATTCAAGGTTTTCAAAACTGTTAGTAGATTTATTTGAGTACCATGTTTCATCTCTAACAGTGAGATGGGACATCGTCACTAAAACATTCACAATACAAGTACATTCAAATTACATATACATTCAATCAAATAATCTTATTTAATATGATACTAACTCTATCAGGTTTGTTGTTGTTTTTATTATTTTACATAAATAATACAAATATAATGGTGCTTTATATATTTTATTTATGTTAAGATTTACTTATTTGATTCTTAATGTTTCCAAAATATTTCTGTGCTTGAAGTTTTGTCTTCATGCATTTTTTTTACTGAAATTTATTTTGTGTTGTTTTTTAATTATATGTTTGATCTTTTCATTTTGACAATAGCAAAATAGAAAATAAAATAGAATGTGTAGATTGCAGAAGCTTCTATTTGAGAGAAATACATAGAAAAATAATGACTAGATATAACGAACATAAAAAAAGAGTCAATCATATAACATAACATAATGTTAAGGGACAACAAAGTGCCTATTGGTCCATCTCAGCTGTCCCATCCTCTAAATTAAAACTATTAAATAAATTAATTTAAAAAATAAATAAAAATCTTATCATTCACATAGTTATCAAGCTTTCTCTTATATTCACTTAAATTTACTGCCTCCACAACAATCTGAAGGCAACCCATTCGAGATGCCAACCACCCTATTAGAAAAATATAACTGTTAACTGAAGATGACACTTATCTTGCAAAAAATTATATTTGTGTCCTCTAATCTTACTATATTTACCATTTGTCGTTTGACCAACTTTTTGAACTTCTAAATCTCCTTTCATACCAGTCAATTTAAATTTCTTAAATTTGTGAAGCTTTTCTTTAATTTTATCTCTTATACCCTTTGTGAGCCAATCTGATTTTTTACTTGCAGCCACTCTTTTCTTTCTATAAGGAATATGTTGATCTTTAATATATAAAAATTATTATTAAAAATATTCCACATTTGATCAGTGTCTCCAAATAATCCAGCTGCCCAATTCACAACAAATAATTCCTGTCACATCCCTTCAAAATTTGACTTTCTCAAAACTAGAACCAAAATATCATTATTCCTGATTTCCATGTGTAGCAAAACATCGAACCTAATAGAGCAATGATCACTTGCATCCAGTTATTCCCCAATTTCCACCCTCTCAACAATTTCAGTATTAGAAGCTAACAATAAATCTAAAATAGTGTTACGACAGCGGAAGTCATGTGACGCTAGCAACACGTCATGAACTTCTAGAAGGATCCTGTCCCTTCCTGAATA